TAAAAAAATGAAGGAATTTAGAATGGGAAGTGTTTTTCTTCCTTCCCTCTCCCCACTAGATCTGTTCATACCAAAGATTGCCCCCTTCCTCTTCTTCCTGGGTAATGGACAATCTAGCCCTCCTATGAGACAGCTCATTGGTCAGTGTAAAGGGGACCTCACCCATCCTCATAAGGGATATCTCAGTAGGTGAGACATGCCAGAGCCATCCTCACACATTCTCAGTGGGCCATCACTCTGGCTAAGGGACACTGTAGTTGTCTTTGCTTGTTAATCACTTTGCTTAAGGGCATTGCCATGTCTTTCTGGTCTGCCTTTTGAAAGGTATGATGAATACGTGTGCCTAATCTAGCGCACTTGCTCCATCTGTAGCTCTGCCTGGGCATAGTGAGCCAAGGTTTCCTTTCAGCTCCTGGTTTTAATCATAATCATGCCTTGTGATTTATGGCAGTCTTGTCTTTGTGGGTGGGGTGGATGTTTGTGTATGTGCAGGAGGATGGGAAGAACACTTTATATCTCTGGACCTGGTTTTGCTGACCTTTGCCAAATGTGCTTACTCCTTCCCCTGTGATTCTTGACCTGCAAACAGGAAACCAGTCTGACCTGATTCCGTTTTGGGAGAAAGGGCAAGAACAATGCTGGTGAAGCATAAATGCTCTACTGATGCCACCAGTAACTCTTTGATGTCTACTCTGCCGGTTTTATCAGACACAGGGCAATGGCCCATGCACCAGTTGTATTAGGGTACGTCTACACTGGAATAAAAGATCTGGAGCATGGCTGTGGGTGCCCTGGGTCAGCTGCTTTGGAGCTAAGGGACTATGTAGATTCAGGCTTGTGCTGGCACATAGGCTAAGGCACCTCTCCTCTCGTGGGGTCCCAAAGTCCCACTGTTAAGCTCAAATCTCAACACTGCAGTTAAACAACCCAGTGGTCCAAGCCTTGCAAGTCTGATTGAGCTGTCCCGGGCCAGCCATCCATGTTTAATTGAAAAGTAGACATGCGCTTAGTATTGTTCTTGGGGCCATACCTACCTCTACCTTTTTCAAGGACTCTCTGAACAGGAGCAGCAAAGATCAAAGCACACTCCAATGGATTTTCCTACCTCCTGTAACTGCTCAGGCAAACCTTCCTTCTCGATCTGTGATTATCTTTATCCTGGGTTTGCAGAGGCAAATATCCCTCTTTACTTCAAAAGGGCTGATTTTTGGAGAAAGGTGGGGAAAGGTGGGGAATTGCAGAGACGTGTGATATTTCACAAAATGCCGCTTTGAGATGGCATTTTGTGAAGTATCACATATGTCTCTGTAGTTCTCCTCCTTTGTCATAGATCCAAATAACTGAGGACATCAACTTAATGAGAAAGTGGAGATTATTTCAGGGCAACGCCCACTAATTCCTCTCACTAGTCAATTGAGTTCAATACACCTTTTTGTAGAGGACAAAGAGGACAGATCTTCAGGTAGCATAGCTCTGTTGGCATTCCAAGGAGCTCGCCCAAGGAATACAAGTATTGCCTACTTCAAATGCTGCTCTAAAGAAAGTAGAATTGGAGGCAAGTATTGACAAGTTTTGCAGGTCAAAATAATTGTTTTATGCAACAATGACAACAACTTGATGAATGCAATCAGATTCAATGTCTTACTCACAGAAGCCCCTAAACTCCATCTGAGTTCAAATGAGGTACACACACAAACACACATATACGTACACGCGCACACCGTGAGCTTGTTTCTTGGTTGCATTGTTCTCTTTATTTAAAATGAAGGCAGTTTTGTCTGAACGGAACATTTTGATCTTTGTATATAGAAAAACATAAACCAAAGAGTGACAAACTCTGATGGGGAAAATGGTGGCGGGAGGGAATGGGGAGAGAAAGTCAGGGCTAAAGTAACAGGATTATGCAGTTACTGGGTGTAGTGGTGTCTGGGCCCTGACTGCTACTGGTTTCATTGGGGAGGCTGTGTGAGTTTCTGCATTTCCACGTGCACTGGAAATACAGATAACTTTCAGTAACTACACTTATCTCATTTAGATAATTCCTGTAAACTTCTTGGGGCACCAGGGGCGGCCCAAGGCAGGCTGCCGGCAGCTAATGCCCCAGGCGGAATGTGCAATCAGCACCCCCGTGCCCCAGGCAGAATGCGCGTTCGGCCCCCCTGCCTCCACAGCCCTCAATGGCGTGATGTCATCATTGGGTGCCTCGTTTAACACAGCGCCCTAGGCAATGGCCAAGTCGGCCTATACGCATGGGCCACCCCTGTGGGGCAGCAACAACGTCTTCCTCCAGAATGCTGAGCACCAAGAGCAGCACCCTAAGAGGAACCTTCCAGTGGTGAGTCCCTTGCTAGTTTTGCCTATGTCAACCACATCGACAGATGTTTAACAGTTTAGGTTCTGAAAAGTTGAGAATCCCAGGTTATACAGAATTGAACTCTAAGTGGGCTTCACAGTGGAGCATCTATTATTATATAGGGTCTGTTACAAAGGAAAAAACAAACAAAGTCTGTGCTGGTAGCAGACAAAAAGGAGGTTCTCTTCTCTCTTTCCAGCCTCTTTCTCCCTTCTACATCTAAGGAGCAGAATTCAGTGAGAGTCCACATGAAGCTGTGGATGCACTTTTCCTAGGCACCTCCCTTAGCTCCCGCCTCAACAGTTTGTGGTCACTGCACATACAATCAGGACTGACCAGGGCCAGCGCACAACATTTTGGCACCTGAGGCAGGGAGCTCAAATGATGCTCCCATACCCCCTCGCTGCACCAGCAGCAGACACAATTTTCTACACTTTGGGTCCTAGTGGTGCCCCCGTACAGTCTGTCGCCTGAGGCAGCTGCCTCAGTTCGCCTCATGGTAAGGCCAGCCCTGGGACTGACAGCTGTCTATATTCACCACTGGGAATGGATTTCATGACTAGCGCCTCCAAAGCTTGAGCCTGGTCAACATTAAAGAGTCGTCAAAGCCATTCGAAGGCACTGGCACAATATGTGCATGAATCAGCTGCTAGGTGTGGAGCAGCTGTAAATATTAGTGTCACTTCTCAAGCATCATCTCCTGCTTGGTTCTCTTCCATTCTTTACATCGTACTCGGGTCTGACAGTCTCTCCAGTGAAAGTCACAAAGATCTTCTCAAAGCTCAACAGCTGGCAACAATGCAAGCTGAAAGCCCATGTGGCTAGTCTCCAGAGTCCTTTTAACCTTAGCTATATTGGCCCCGTTGTCTCTGTCGCTAGCCAACTGAGTCCACACATTAGAAATGTTAATACCTGTGGTCTTGAACTGACAGCAGTCATTACATTTTATTTTGTGACAGAATGATCATCAGCTGATGTTGGAGAGGACACCATCAGTCCTCAAGGTGAAATGGAATCAGCAGAATAAGAGAGCTTTTATTCCAAGGTAAGGAAGTGAGTGAATAAAGAAATAAATAGTAACAACAACAAAGGCACACGTGTGTGCGCGCGCGCACACGCACACACACACACACACACACACACACACACTGTAGGGCAACAAATGACCCACCCACTGATCCCTCTCCTTAGTCAATTCAATTCACCGCACTTTTTTGGGAGATGAAGAGGCCAGATCTTCAGGTAGCATTGCTCTGTGGGTAGTCCAAAGATCTGGCCCAAGAAATACAAGTATTGCCTACTTCAAATGCTACTCTAAAGAAAGAAGCACAAGTTTTGTAGTCACAAGTTTTGTATGCCAGTGAAACATTGTTTTTTGCAACAATGCCAATGGTGATGGGCTTTAACTATTTCAAACTGAATTTATTTTCACCCTTTGTGAGACTTAGGAGGGTTTTTTTTCCAACCTAAAAACTTTATAGAAGTTTTCCTGTGGAGGAAAGCCCCAGTAGAAATTCACAGGACTTTATGTAACCGGCTGCTTGAGTCCAGGTGCTGTTTTGTGAGGAGCAGCTGCTGCGGTTATGTGTGACTGGGTATAGCTGGAGAGATCAGTCACCCTTTCCCTGGCAGTGCAGGGCTCTGAATGCTGATCAGAACACAGAGCTGCCTGCTGCAGGTAGAAGCCAGGTTTAGCTTTTGTGCTGTTAGGTAAACACACACATAAATCAACAAGCACATGTTTGATTAACACACAGCAGTATGGAGAACACACATCTGTCTTTCGTTATGATATGGAGGCTGTATGTTTGGTAACAATGGGATCCTTGAAGGGTAATGACCCAGGAGATTGATAACAGAATCAAAGAAGAAGCATATCACCTCTAACCTATTGTGCCATAGAGTTTAAGGCCAGGAGGGATGATTAAATCATCAAATCTATGATAGGCTATTACATTTCACCTGGATACCCCTGTGGTCAGCCCAAATACTTTAGATCAACTGAAGCATTTCAGTCCTCAGGAGATTAAATTGTGCAGCCGCAGGTTGGTTGTGAATAACTATGTTTTGATATGCAAGCAAGTGAGCTTTCTGTGTCCCGGAACAATACTGCATCACTCAGATGTAGATGGGCTACTGAGCCCCTCCATCTACCAGACACATTGTTCTGTGCTATCATCATTATTATTTGTATTGCAGCAGCACTGAGTGGTGCCAATCAAAGATCAGGGTCAGTGTTCCCTCTAAGCTGCAAGGCAGCACAGCTTCACAGGTGATTAATCAGCCCCACCCAGTCAGAGACTCAGGGCTCTGAGATGAGGGCCCTCTTCTGCTAGGGACTTTACAGAGTAGAGCTGGACAACAATTTTGTCCAAACTATTTTCTTGGCAAAAAGTTT